GCCCTCTGTTTCAGGTGCGGAGTTCAACCAGAATCTTGGAAGACAGCTAACGTGGTGCCGATCCACAAACGGTCCTCGCGCTCTGTTCTGAAGAACTACCGCCCAGTATCGTTATTATGCATAATGTCCAAAGTAATGGAAACTATTGTCAATCGCCAACTGATGAACCATCTTGAGCGCCAGCAGCTCCTCGCTCCCCATCAGTTTGGGTTCCTTAGAGGTCTCAGCACCGCAGACGCACTACAGGCGCTTCATTACGCCTGGGTGGACATCGTTGGCCAAGGTGGCGCGGCACGAATTCTCGCAGTCGACATAGCCGGGGCCTTTGACCGGGTCTCCCACGTGGGCCTCCTGTACAAGGTCCGGCAGCTCGGCATTAATGGCACTCTCCATGGCTGGCTATCGTCTTATCTTGACGGCCGTTCACTCCAGTGCTTAGTCGGCGGGCTGATTTCTTCTCTCTACCCAATCTCTGCAGGGGTGCCCCAGGGTAGTATCTTGGGCCCTACGCTGTTTTTAATATACGTGAATGACGCTGCCGATGTTTTTGATGGCAATGCTAAGCTTGAGGCCTATGCGGACGATACGACACTATACGGCCCAGAATCTGCGAAAACCAGGCTTAGGGTGAAATTATTTCACAAAATGGCTTTTTCTCATTTTCAGCTTCTACTGGGCATGGGAGGTCAGGAAACAAAATATTACAGGTGTGGGTCAACTCATAGTGGTATTAAAAGTATCTCAAACACACCAGGGTATTGTGTTAAAAAATCCATAAAAAACACAAAATTGTTATCACAGGAAAGAAATGAAGAGAGATCCTGCACTAGAGTGAAGGAAGAGACATGGATGATTTTTGTTTAGGTGACATGACAAGGTAGGCATGTGAGGGCAGGCTTATTGTGGCCCCTTGGTGCTGCAGGCTGTAGTGGCCATGCACATTGCACAGTTACTGATTCTGCATGAATCATTTTGTTTGCTCCTCACTCAGCACATTCCGGGGCTGAATGCATGTGCTGGCATGCTCTGGCGCTACACACCACAAGGAAACCCGACTCCAGTTGAGATGGCACCTTTTGAAGGGTGAATCTAGTACAACTATTCAAAAACAAGGCAAGAACACGGCCTTTCAATTCAAACTGTTCCACTGTTCGTAGTATGCGCATAGTGTGCTGGCGTGCTGCAGTGTTATTATTGTTATTATTATTTAAAACTCTGATGTTCAGCCATAAATATATGTGGAAGAGAAAAAGACATATGGATGCGAGTTAAGAGTAACTCTCCATCACTGTAACATGATACTATAATACAGTCAGAAAGTGCAATAACTAGGCACAAACCTGACAGAGTACTGAGACATTCGACGTCCTGACACCTAGCTTCAACACATCTCCGTAGCGCTAACCGACAGCCTTCCAACTTGGAAGGTTCAAGGTTATGGAAAGACCAAAGAGGGGAAGGCAAGCGCAACGAAAACGAGCAAAAGCTACAGTCCCAACGGAACAAAGAATGTCGATTGTTACTGGACGATGACGAGACCAGCGAGACCAGTACGATATTTGACAAAGCGGTCTAACTACAATTCGAAGCAGCAAAGCAGCACACCACCCAACGTTGGGACTGTAGCTTTTGCTCGTTTTCGTTGCGCTTGCCTTCCCCACTTTGGTCTTTCCATAACCTTGAACCTTCCAAGTTGGAAGGCTGTCGGTTAGCGCTACGGAGATGTGTTGAAGCTAGTTGTCATGACGTCGAATGTTTCAGTACTCTGTCAGTTTTGTGCCTAGTTTTGTGCCAGTTTTGTGCCTAGTTATTGCACTTTCTGACTGTATCATGTTTCAGTGATGGAGAGTTACTCTTAACTCGTATCCATATGTCTTTTTCTCTTCCACATTTATTATTTAATAATTTATTATAGTCTAGTATCCTCAGCTCAGTGCCCTCGGGACGCTGCACACACCTAAGTCTTTCAGGTATCTACAAACCACCTGCATATGCATGAGTGGGGTTGCCGGTGGAAAGTGTCTTTCGAGCCCACCAAGTCACAGGCTATGACTGCTACCCTCCGACGCACTGACCTAGAGTCTAGGTCTAAGACCTACCCCAAATCCTGTTTGGTGGTACGCCTGTACCGGAGGAAACCAGCATATCACTGCATGGTGTTCGATTTGACTCGAAATTGTCCTTCGCTAGTCACCTCAGGACCGTGACCATCCGCGCCCAGCAGCGCCTCGGCTTTCTCCAACGAGCGGCCCACATTCTAACGCCAGCTGGCCGAACGACCGTCTACAAGGCATTCGTGAGGCCCCTGATGGAGTATGCCCCGTTTGTGTGGATGGGCGCGCCAGCCAGCCACATCCAACGTCTGGATAATGTTCAACGCCGCGCACTGCGCATCATTGGCCCTGGTGCAATTGTCCCCAGTCTGGCTGTCCGCCGGACTATTGCTGCTCTCTCGTGCATGTACAAATTGCATTTCATCACTGGTCCTCCTCAGTTACTTGCTGTATTGCCACCGCATCGCGTTTCTCCAGCCAACCCCAGAACCCGGAACGAGCACAATAATGCCACTAGCCACGCATATCAACTGTCAGACACGCTCCTTGTCTCAGCTCCATCCGTCGTGAAGCGGTCGTTCCCTTACTGCTGTATTGGCGCATGGTACTCCCTTCCTGACAGGCTGCTGTCGCAGCGCCCACACAAAACACGTTTTCAGTCATTCAAGAAAAAGGTCTACCAACACCTGAGAGACAGCAACTGGTACTGGGCAACAGATTCCCTGTAATTTTTCGAGCTCGTCGCTTGCCGGACCCACTGATCCGCGTACCTGGCCTTGCTCAGAGTGCTCAGCTGTGTTTTGCATACATGAAAAAAACTTGTTATGATTCTTCTCTCTTTTCTCTGTTTTTTTTCTTTTACCAGGCGTGGGCCATCCCCTGGACTATCAAAATGGGTGCCATATTATTTTTCTGTGTTTTAGCTTGTTTTCTTTACACTTCTTTGTGCGAGTTTCGTATCGGATCTATTGAAAAAGTTCATAAGTTTTGGTTGATGGAATTGACATGTACATGGTACATCAGTCCAACCACTGATACTTTTTTTTTCATATCTGAACATGTATCATGGCTATGGTGACCTTTTAATTCGCACTTAGTGCTTTTCGCGTCCCTCAAAATATTATGCTGAAAAAGTGCTCTTTTTCAGTGAAGCATAGCCATGATACATGTTCAGATATGAACCCAAGCTAAGAAATGAATACGCAATCTTCTACTTATGGGTCCACGGAAGGCAAAACAGGAAGTAAAGTTCAAAAAACCCACTTTTTACAGCATTGTGTACACCGGGTACAGGCTTCACCAACTAACTAATACTTGTTGCCCCCCCCCCCCCCCCAAATAAGCGGCGTGCCAAGCCCCACCGAGTACTCGGAAACTGTGATCGCATACAAGAGCAAACAGATTTTAGCACTTCTTCAGCTCAAAAAGCTCAAAAAGGGCGATATTCACTAAAAAACGCAAGAAAGGGCGAAAGAAACGGGCTTATCCAAGAAGGGGAAAAAAGGGTGAGCACCTTTGGGAAAGAGCTACCTCTGAGGCTCTGTCTCCAGATTGCAGCACTAGCGGTGAATCACACAGGTGATCCATAATGGATCAAGCAGGTGCTGCATGATTGATTGTAGTGATCACGTGATGACAGACTGCATGACTTGTAGACATTCTACGTGTGCAGTGGAGGAGCTAGACACAATACAAATGTAGCAGGGCTAGATATAATTTAAGGGCACGGCTGTTAGCTGCACTCGGATCGCGGCAACTTAGTTTTCTGCACGTGAACCATGAAAAATCAATGCATGCTCATGCATGTTCATGCATAACCAGTCAGCTGGCCTGCTCGCCCACGCATTTGACAGGTAACAATTCCATCAAATTTGAGATATCGCTTCGTTCTAAGTCTCAAAACAGTTCTAAAGTCACCAAACCACGCTGGTAATCGATGGCTATTCAATGTTAACATCTTCAGGAAGACTTCAGGCGTTTCCCGAGAGTTTGGGCATCGTTGCCGTTATTTTTCACGGTGTTCTTCTTCCTCCTGTCTGGAGCTGCAATTGCATCCTGGAATTACTTGAAAGGTATTTCGTGCGGGCTGTGGGGGGTTCCAACAGGCATAAACTGACATCGCTATAGGATAACTGGTAACTTTCACCCTTCAAGGAGGTAGAGCAATGAGAATTTTTTTGTGGCGGTCGTCCAATTTTTGTGGCGGTCGTGGCTGTATTTGTGCACTTCCAAGGCTTTCATTCTGCCTGATACTACTCTCTACTGTATGGGAATCTTTGTTTAGGCATATGTAGCTGTCTTATTTGGTAGATCTGCTGTTTTCAATCACTTGGGACACTTTGTCTAGCCTATTTGTCTTTCGTTCGTGCCATCTATCAGTTTTGTGGGGTGCCTTGACCTGTATTTGTGAAGTTCTCGAGTAAAGACCCTAATTCTTGACTGGAGTGACGTCTTGAATTGAATTTGCAGGGTGAGAAGTTCACGCAGTTGTACTTATCGTAATAGTCAATATCTGCTTGCTGGACGGACTAGCGGCTAGAATAGGGATGACCAAATGGTCCAAGTGTGTACTAGTACACGATTATTGTTTCCATCATCGTGAAATGCTCGTTGTGGAATTGCAGTCGTCTTCCTTTGGCACTGAGGACATGAGGAGAGTTGATTGTTACTTCTGCTCAGCAATGAAGCGATCATCAGCTCTCTTTGTTCTAATTATTGAGAGGACATACCGGCATCGCAATCAAGTAAAGATTAGGCAAACCTCGCCAACCTCCAAAGAGAGTCGAAGATATTTCTCCAAATGCAAAGATCTTTGTGAGTTTGTGACTTGCATTTGCGTGCATACATGAGCAAGTCACGGACCACGGCACGTGCGCGGTTACCATGCCATCTCGAACCGACGCCATCTTTCTAAGTTGCCGCTTCTTGACAGCCGTTGGGGGAAGTCCCTTGGACGCTGTGCCTGTGAGGCTGTGAGCTGACATGGACTAGAACTGTAAGAGTTAGTACAGAATTCACATGTACATGACCACTGTCCAGTGCTAGTTGTACTTGTAGGTTAGTTGTAGGTCCAGGTACTCAGTTGCAAGTGACACGTGACTAGTGACAGTTAACCATCATGCCACACAACAGAGACGGGCCCGTGGGGTGTCACAAGCGTTTATATTCCAGCGTGAATAATCATGAGCCTGTGATCGGTAATCAAGTATGACGTACATGTACTCAGTATGAGGTTATGATTATAAATGATGTACACATATCACACATCAGAGAGGCAAGGGCAGCAGAAGCGACCTGCGGGGTCCTGCGCCGTCAGAACGGCTACGTGTACTACTAGGTTGCTATGGCAGCGGAACACTAAATCTTAGTACACATGAATAGTTCAATGGTGCCGATGTGCGTGCACTATGCAGCGCCCATCGACAGCACCCGTGCCTCCAATAAAGGTACCGAATGGCTTGCGACACGCAGGCTCTAGTAGTAGCGCTGTGGCATGCCTGCGGGCCTGAGAATGTACGTGCGATATGCCCTGCTGGACCAGCAGCCTGCAGCCATCAGGGCATACTCTGGTGCGCCTCAATCCACCATGTGTGTGGCTCCCCCGGTGCGTAAGGAATGGCTGCTGATGCTTGGACCTAGCACTTTGTGTAGGACATCATTGATGTCGTTCGGCGTGAGATGGCGACCATCCTGAAACTTGAATAGGGGTTGCTTGTCATTGCTCCATTTGCTGGACCGAACGTAAGCCTGCAGGGCTCGGACGGGACATGGTGCGGGGTCAGCGTAGCGATGCAGCGCTACCTCCCCGCCTGCTGTTAATTGAGACGTCTTCGTCCTCTGGAGCTGCAGCGACGCCTCCTGCTGGGCTAACCGGAGGTGTTCGCGCCTCAGCGTCTTGAGGCTGCCGGGACCGTGTGGTGACAGCGACGTGTACTCACTCACACGCAGCAGCAGGCCGTGGAAGGCTGTCGTAAGAGCAGCCCATATTATTAGTCTGTCTACCGCGGAGTACAAGGACCGATCCAAGAACTGGCGGAGAACCTTCAGCGGGTGGACGGTGATCGCTTGGCACTGAGGGCGTGCTGACGGATGTCTGGGAAGCGACGTTATCTCCCTCTCTAAGCCCTTGAGCAGGGCTGTGATGCGGCTTGAGGATGTAGCCCCGACCGGGCCTCCCATGCGCAGGAGGTGGTATTTGATCGCGGCCAGGTAGACTCTCAGAGTGCTGGCGCTGACTGAGTGAGACATTGCGGCAGCGAACAGTAGGCCATCGTTCTGATCTGGGTGATGTGCGTCGCGGCGCATGCGACCCATGAACTCCAGGAATGAACGCCAGCCTGGGGCGTACGTGCGCTGTGTGCCAGTGGCTACCGAGTTGGCAATCAGGTGCTCTGCTCTCGCTGAGAGAGCGGCGGCTAGCGAGCCTAGGAGGACACAGGCACAAGCGTATGCAACACAAACGCACACACGCATACGTCCGCACATGCGCATGTTTTCTAAACAGGCAGGATGGTACGGCGGCCAAGCTGCGGGGTATGCGTGCTGCGCCGGGTCGCTGAACAGCGGCCCGGTTCCCGGAACACACTGGCCCGGCGGCGTGGCTGCGGATTGTAAGCAGGGGACCCGTGGGTTATCCTAGTGGGAGATCTCCCCCCCCCCCTTACCTCGGCGGGGCGTTCCTGTACTGGTTTGGCCGAGGTTCGCCCTCATCCTGTGGGGCTAATGCAAATACGACCCGAGAGCCCCCCTCCCCCAGCCCCGCGGGGTGGGAGCCTCTGCTATTGGCCTAATCCATAGGTACTTAGCCTTGCGGGTGGACACATGGGGGTGGCACGTAAGCGTTGGCTTGCGTAGCCGTGGCTTGCGGCGGTAAGCGATCCTCCGGCGGGAGGTGGACTTCCGGCGGGATGTTATGCAAGCGGGGCTGGCGACCCTGGACAGACACACAGAACAACAGACAGCAGGCGGCGAAACCTTGGTTCGGTGGAGCCGTAGCTTGCAGCAGCAGTGTCTGTAAGCAATTCTCCGGCGGGAGTTATATGTTCGGCGGGATGTAATGCGAGCGGGGCTAGCAACCCTGGATAGACACACAGAACAATAGACAGCGGGCGGCGAAGCGTTGGCTCGCGGAGCCGTTGCTTGCGGTGGTGGTGTCTGTAGGCGATCCTCCGGCGGAAGGTTGACATCCGGTGGGATGTTATGCGCGCGGCTTGCGAGCCTGGATATACACGCAGAGCACAATACAGCGAGCAGGTCAGGCTCGCGGAGCCGTGCCCCTAGTATACGGGCAAACATACAACCTGCTAGGTAGGCTTAACGCCCTCTACAATTTGCCTCGGTAGCATGGAAACACGGTGCCTGGCTCTTATTTTGTTTGCGCCATGCGGGCCACGCGTGTCGCGTACATATGGAGCGCCCCCGAGTACAGCGGTCGCCGGTTCGGGGCATGCCGGGTGTCGGCCCCCATTACTCCCAAAAAAAGAAAAAGGGGTTCTAAGGGGCCGGATAAGCCCATTAAGCACACCGAGCGGTAAGATAGACCATGAAGGGTTTGCCCCGGCGAGAGCATGGATAATCATTGACAGCGGAAATTGTAGGTGGGTTAGTAGAGTAGGGGAAACAAAACAAGAAAAGAGCAGAGATGCCAGATGCTGGGCTGGGGGACTACGGACGTACGGCGAGCCTGCGTAGTGGTGGCTGGGATTGCCGGGAGCTTGAATTGGCGGCTAGAGCGCCTGGCCAACTGCAGACGAATGCGACTATCTGTTGTCGGATTGGGCACTTGCGAGTGATGATGGGGCAGTCTCCGCGTCGGGAACCAGACAGCGGAAGCGCTGGAACTGGGCCCGGGAGAGTGTGTCTGCGGTGCTGTTGTCGACGCCGGCGATGTGACGGACAAGCAGGCAGAAGTTGTGGTGAGCGGCGAGTTGCTTGGTGCTGCGTATCAGTGCCATGACCCCGGCGTGTCGGCATGTGCCGGACTCCCAGGCAGTGTACACTACTGAATTATTGCAGTGCAGGAGGATCTTCATCTGTGCCCAGTGGGGGCCCCAGAGTTGGAAGTCAATGGCGATGGGCCACATCTCTCTCCACATTATGGATGTGTATGGTGGGGCCTGCTGCGCCGCTGACCATGTGCCCACGAACCAATGACCCTGGTGCAAGCCGCCGAAACCGCTGCCTGACGCGTCGGTGAACAGTTCCAGGTCCGGGGACTTTGACCATACGGGGTCGCGTAGGAGGGCCTTTCTGTTCCATAGTGGGAGGAAATCCTGCCACCATTTGATGTCGGCGAGAGCCTCGCTGGTGAGGCGGACGGCCGTGGCAGGGCTGGTGACCGAGGAGCACAGGTCGATGAGGCAGCGAGTGAACGTACGAACGGCTGGGACGACCTTGGCGGCGAACACCAGGTGGCGAACGAGGGACTGGAGATCGAGTTTGGACGCTGATGACCGGATAGCTCAGACTGCGAGGAGTTGCCGCAATGTACGGAGCTTCTCAGCTTGGAGCCGCAGCTCCCCTGCCGCTGAATCAATGTCGATGCCAAGCACTGTGAGGCAGGTGGCGGGGCCAACAACTTGACCGGGCCGTCTGCTGTTGGGACGCCCAGTTTTGCGAAGACCTGCAGAATAGTGGCTTTGTGGGTCGCGGCCGCCGAGGACGTGACAGACTCGGCTACTGGAGAAACTGATACGAAGTCATCCCAATAGTGCTCCAGTGCAGAGGTACTATAGTTATTACGGAGGATCCATTCTAGGGCGGTAGTCAGGCAGTTAAACACACTGGGAGCGGAGCGTAGGCCAAATGGCAGGAGAGTGTCGAAATAGTAGTTGCCCTTCCACAACATGCCGAGGAGCGGCCAGTCGTCGGTGTGCACTGGGCAGAGTCGGAAAGCGTGCTTCAGGTCCTCCTTCGACAGGAGGGCTTCGGGGCCCGTCCTGCGCACGTGGTCTGCTATCGTGTCAATCGTAATTTGAGAGAAACGGTAGGCCTGCTTGTCAATGAACGAATTGACGCTGTTCCCATCAGGGGCGGACAGTTGCATGATGAGCCGGTGACCGCCCGACTTCTTGGGGACCACACCTACGCCAGAGGTGCGCAGATGGACGAATGGCGGCGCGTTGAAGGGGCCAGCGGTGTGGCCGCGACTGCATTCCGTGGCCAGGTACTGGTCGACGACCTCAGGGTGTGCTGCCGCTGAAGACAAGTTCGGGCTGCGTACAGACACATCACGGGGTCCGGCGAACCCGATACAACAGCCGGCACGTAAATTGCTAATTAGAGAATGAACAAATGCAGGATTAGGGTGCGCCAGCAATTCAGTGTGTAATGCATCAATATTGATAGGGGTGTTGGGGTGTAATGCAATATTCATAGGGGTGTTAGGGGGTGGGTGATTGCAAGAAAGTGGTGCCGGGGCTGATTGCTGTTCGCTCTTATTTCGTGGCTGAACAGGCTGACACGGCGTGCGAGCCTGAGCAGAAGAGGCAGGCGTGTCGAAAGCGACATGGGCCGCTGCAGGCGCCGTGATTGTAGCGGCGGCAGATTTCGGTTGATTTAGTGCTTGCACTCTCTTTCACCTGCTTGCCGCGAAAGGCCGAGTTGTATGCTCCGGCCAAGTGCCCCACCTTCCTGCAAATGCTGCAATTGGGGAGGGCCTGTCCCGTGAAACACGTCGCGAAAAGCTCCGTGTCGAGCTCCGCCAGGGATCGGCTTGGGTCCTTTGACAGGGCCTGGCGTGCCCGCGTGTCATAGTCCACGACTGCCGAGAAGCGGTACTGCCCGGCTGCCTGTACCATGCGTATTTGATGCTGCATCAGTGCAGCGGCGCAGCGAGGTTGATCGCGGATGGCGATCAGGCTAAAAATAGACCATGCCTCGGTCCACATGGCAAGGTTCTCAATTTTTCCTTTCGGTGCGCTTGTCACCGAAAGTGCCCCTTCCTCGTCTATGCGGAACCTCTTAGGGTCTGGCTCCCCGGTAGAAATAGATTTGGGCAGGAGCAGTATTGCCAGATCTATATACTCGTTTCGTCTGATCCGGTCGACTGTCTCCAACGAGACATGCGAAATGCAGGAAGGGTAACCCATGTCCGTATGGTGCATGAATTCATCAGCACGCATAACGTCTTCTTGGTGCTCTGTGACGTTCTCCGCTGCGTTGCCGCTGAGGGCTGCTGCCACGCTGGCTGCCAAGATCTGCTGGATAGACTTCCTTTGTGCCTGCGAGAAAGCCATGGTGAATGTGAGACTATCGCTGAGAGCGGAAGTTTAGAAGAGACAATTACAAACAATTTCTGCGGCGGGCAGGCACAACAAACAACTGGTGAATATCTTTACTTGTTAATGCCTTGCGAGGGTGGCCTTGGGTGAGCTTGCACCCAAGGCGGATAGGTGGCTTATACGGCATGTCGTACGCGCATCGCGGTTGCGAATGCTTGCGTGGAGCCCCGCGCAGGAGCCCGGCAGTGCGTACGTTTTCCAAATGTTTCGTCCCAGCAACCCCTCCTACCTCAGATGGCTGACCCCACTAAAAATACCTTCCTACACCCCTGCATTAACAAACTGCTTCACGGCAAACAATGTTAGAAAGCAGGCTGCACAATGCCCTTATAAGGCAGAGCTTGACACACAGTAGGGAGCACAGAAACTGTACTGTGACAGGCTGTATCACTGTTGCAGCGCGAGTTTGCTTTTGCAGCGCGAGTTTGCTTTTGCAGCGCGAGTTTGCTTTTGCAGCGCGAGTTTGCCTTTGCAGCTTTTCCACCTAAGCAACCTACCGCACGCCTTAACCATCGTTGGCAGGTTATTGGTATTCCGCTTGTTCTTGTAGTTATCGCCATGCCAATTTGTTTTGGGTGAAGCACGAATGTTTGCTAAACTCGGTTTTTCCAACAGGTGGCCGAACCCCTCCCCTCCCCCTCCATTTGCGCCGATAGCCTTGACAAATTGGTACCGTATTTTACTTGTTGTATATTGCACGGTGTACTAAATCCAACCCATCATTACGACGGCCTGCCTACATGAGAGAGCGGGGCACAGACAAGCAATGTCATGTGCGAGCATGTATTAGTAGCGGACATGCAGCCCGGTGGTCAATTACCTACGTGATTTAGCGTTACAGTGTCCACCGGCCTTGGTTGCCTGGAAGTGGCACGAATGTGGCTGGACGTACACCTGCACCAGCCTTGGTTGCCTGGAAGTGGCAGGTATGTGGCTGGACGTACACATGTAAAGATACAGTACATGTGCAGATGCAATGATGTAAACTGTGATTGGAACTGCTCCAGGCCGCCAGCTTTGTACTTTGGGTCGTATTTCAGTGAACACAGCAACTGTAGCATAGTCGTCCCTCTCTAATCCGGCACTTTATAATCCAGCACCCTCGATAAACCAGCACAATTTTCAGTAGCCAAAATGTCCTCTTCATGTACATTGCAGCAGTAAATCAGATTTGTTAATCCAGCACCCTCCCTAATCCAGCAGATTTTCGTGGCACAAATGGTGCCGGATTATAGAGGGACCACTGTAGTAGGTTTTGTATGATGCAGTGCATGCTCTGTTTCAATTCATTTCCCTATTGTTCCATCACTTTATTTCAACACGGATTTCAGTGCTCCGTTTTGCGGAGACCAGCTCTCCTCCCCCCCCCCTCCCCCCCCCCCTCTCTCTGTTTGTTTCTGTATCGAGGGGCATTCAAGTCATGCAGTTATGTGATTACAGTCACATTCACGTTTCCTTGTAAAACGTGTTCAGATACGAAGTTTGACTGGTACACAGTTCCTGGGTTCCTGGGTGCCTGGGTAGGTCTACCTGGGCGAATTATCTGTCCAGTTGTACTAATCTTGTACATAGTCCAACCGCTATCTTCAAACCGAATTTTCTTTCAACGTTTCCTCGTTCTAGCATTGCCAGATTACTGAGCAGCCAGCGCATGGCTGTGAGCGTTGACACGTACACCCTTCGTTTCTTACCGTGTTGTGGAGTGACTTCACTGCACGGTGCACTTGACAATCCGTGTTCTGTGTACCATCATCATGATCATCTCATGTCCTCTCTTGAAGCTTGGTCTCTCTGGCTCTCCAACAGTCACAGAACTGACTGTATATCAGGAGTGGCAGCGGAACAAGCCCTGCAGTAGATCTGCAATAAACCCGAGGAACAAGCCCTGCAGTAGATCTGCAATAAACCCGAGGAACAAGCCCTGCAGTAGATCTGCACTAAACCCGCGGAACAAGCCCTGCAGTAGATCTGCAATAAACATGTGTTCTGGGTTCTTGCCATACACTACAGCAAAGGCAAACTGTCGCCACTAGAATGAAGTTCTGAAAAGCCACTGAAATATTCTGCTGCAGAAAAGAGAACATGAAACTCAATCCGTTCGCATTTCCAGGAACGCATCGACTTTCACTGATACGGACACAATGCTCTATAAGGAATCGAAACTTGTAGTCTCGGCAAGTTTCTATCGACTCTCGTATTTCGATTGTAGCGCAGACATACAATACGATTACCAGTATGTATCACGGACCCTACTAGTCTACTACTACATCATGTAGCACTAGCACAGTAGCAGGTAAATGGACAGACTACTGGTCCTTGCGGGTGCGGACACGGGGAAATCCCTTGAATCCCCTGCACTACACGTATCTCGCCCTGACTGACAAGTAACGCACGCGCACGTACAGTTCTGACAGGGCTAGCCCAGGCTAGGGACCGGTACTGGCGGTAGGGGCATCAGATCGACCTCATGAATGAAGTAGCGCCACCGTTCGAGCGCAATGAACAGTGTGTATGTGTGCGCGCGCGCGCGTGCGTGTGTGTTTGTGTGCGCGCGTGTGTATGTGTGTGTATGAGGTGCAGGGGCCATGTAACGAGGCCTGGCGCAAATATTCATGACGCCCAATTCTTTTTCCCTGGCATGGTTGTTGTCACTCTCTCCTTTGTAGCTTGGTATTATTTCACCCACTCCATATCTCCATATCTCTGCTGCTGCTTTGGAGATGGTAAGTTTTTTTTATACATGTACAATGTAAGAAAGAATCAGTCAACGACCATCATAGCTATGTAGCAATACTGGCTAAGAACAAGCTTCACTTGACACAAGTGAAATCCGGGTAGCTACGTACACAATAGGAGTCTTTTCTGCGTTTATCCTGATAGCAATGAAATTTTTTTCCAAAGCCAGAGGCCCGAGCGTACCTTGCGAGATTGCTCAGTGAGCTCTGGATAACGCAAACAGAAAATGCACTACCCCACATGAGAGTGCTCAAACTGACAAGTCAGTGAGCTCTGGATAACGCAAACAGAAAATGCACTACCCCACATGAGAGTGCTCAAACTGACAAGTCAGTGAGCTCTGGATAACGCAAACAGAAAATGCACTACCGCACATGAGAGTGTTCAAACTGACAAGTCAGTGAGCTCTGAACAACGCAAACAGAAAATGCACTACCCCACATGAGAGTGCTCAAACTGACAAGTCAGTGAGCTCTGAACAACGCAAACAGAAAATGCACTACCCCACATGAGAGTGCTCAAACTGACAAGTCAGTGAGCTCTGAACAACGCAAACAGAAAATGCACTACCCCACATGAGAGTGCTCAAACTGACAAGTCAGTGAGCTCTGGATAACGCAAACAGAAAATGCACTACCCCACATGAGCGTGCTGAAACTGACAAGTCAGTGAGCTCTGAACAACGCAAACAGAAAATGCACTACCCCACATGAGAGTGCTGAAACTGACAAGTCAGTGAGCTCTGAACAACGCAAACAGAAAATGCACTACCCCACATGAGAGTGCTCAAACTGACAAGTCAGTGAGCTCTGGATAACGCAAACAGAAAATGCACTACCCCACACGAGAGTGCTGAACTGCTACAAGAGCAGGAGCGAAATACTCAAATTCTACTACAATTACTATTACTACTAGCTACATTGAAGATAGGATGAGAACTATACGATGTCATGATAATGTGTACTATCAATACAAAACTATCAACTGCAGCATACATGCTATACATGCAGTGTGTAACACTGTAATGAATAAACACAAATGCACACCCTGCAGCTGGATAAGATAACTCACAACGAATGCACAGACATAAGACGTCATATCACCGTCCTGTGAATGCATTGCGAGAGTTGGCAATCTCGGAGGGCCGGCTGTGAGGTTTTGGAGACGATGGTGGGCAGGACAATGCCCTTGTATTTTCCTGGTTTTTGTTTTTTGTTTGTTTTTTTTGTTTGTTTTTGTTTTTGGTGTTTTTTTTGTTTTTGTTTTTTTGTTTTTTTTGTTTTTTGTTTTTTTGTTTCTCGTTTTTGCGTTTTTTCACACATACAATTGTTTTCATTTTTTGGTGTTGTGTTCTAATCATTCGCCATGCCACTGTCAATTGTATTCTGTTTGCCCGTAAAAGAGGCCTTTTATCAATGCGAAAAAAAAAAAAAAAAAAAAAAAAAAACAGACATAAGACAAAGATGATCTATCATGACATCATGACACCGTAACATCATGACATGATAACATCATGACATCATGGTATCATCATGGTATCATAACATCATAACATTATGACATCATGGCACCGTAACATCATGACATCATAACATCATGACATCATAACATCATGACACCATAACACCATAACATCATAACATCATAACATCATGACATCATGACATCAAAACATGACATCATGACACCGTAACATCATGACATCACAGAGCCCGCAGACACCACGCATGCATAGTATATGTGTGGTTCAAACAGACAGATAAATCCTGTTCTTATAATGAAAGCGAAAAGGAATGAATTCAACGACAGTCATTTACTATGGCATTGCATTATGTTTCAGGATAAATATCACATCGAAATCAGCTCATCAAACCTCGCCTTTGCATCTCTCAACACATTGCTGCAACGGTGGCTGAATGTTCATTCCAGCGGTTACAGAAGACACATCAACGAAAATGCATTGTGACGCCGATTACTCAGGATGCACTGTAACCTTCACTGAAGTCTTGTCTGTTTCCGTAGTTACTGGAGAATCTTGAAGAAGTACTCAACCTAGAGGAATGAATTTAGTAGAGGAAAATATGGAACCCGCGATCACAGGACGCACACACATACACACATGCACGAACACACCCATACACACACACATACACACGCACACACATACGCGCGTGCGTGCGTGCACACACACACACACACACACGCACACACACACATACACGCAAGAGCACACACAATGTCTAGCAATGCACCCCAGGGCACTTTGAACATTTCATTCCTTCGTCATCTTAGCTCTCTTTCTGAAGTATTCTAACAGTCACAACTGCTGCTTGGAGTGTGAGTCGGAGAGCAGCAAAAGAAGCAGTTGTACAAGAGCAACGACAACATGGTCCTCAGATCCACGACCATGAGATTAAGACAAGCATGCTCTACTGAGTGTGCAACAGGAACAATTCCATTCTCGACGGGAAGGAGAGTTAAGACAGAATACCATAAGGGCCCGGTCCCACATGTAGTGGCGGATCCGCTGGTGCGACAAGGTTTTGCGGGAGTGGTGCCCCACCTCTCCTGCGACAAAATGCTCGCGTGGTCTCCCATGATCACGCGTGCACGGCGAACGAAGCGAGCGCGCCTCTCTGACTTCCAAAAAATTCAATGCAGCTCTCCTGCAACTCAAGCATGCTTTCACTTCGAAGTACGCGTGCAAGTACTGTACTGATGGTGTACAGTCAGTACTGTGTCTGTGGACAGAACTGTTTCGTCCTTTGTGGACACATCAACGCAGCACTGATGTACTGATGATGTAGATGCTAGGTGTTGGACAGATCGTTGTTTTTGTTCAGTTGAGTATCAAGCATTACCATTAGCTACATGTCGTGGGTTCGGTATTGTTGACTTTGAGTCTTTGTTCTGTATAATCTGAAAGAATGGATTCTCCGTTGGGTAGAGGTCGATTGGCGAGACGTTGTCACAAGGCTATGGAGAACGCAGCGACATTGTCGTTGCTGAATACTAGAACGAACTTGTTGAGCAGCACATCGACGATACCTGCTATAGATACTAGAATTGCTCTTGCCAGACCTACATCACAGTGGTCCCCCTGCGTGGTTTTACATGATGGCCATGCTTGGCTGCTCACGGGTCCGCGATTTGGTCTTTGGCCGACGCCGCAGCCGTCGGTTTCAGCATCAGCTTCTCGGCTATCTACCTATACCGCTCCGTATCTCTCTTCATCAATTGGTCAAACGAGTCTCGACCTCAACATACATGACGTGTACAACTGCAGCCGTAGCTGCTCTAAATCAAGTCCAAGTGTCCACTTCATGACCGAAAAATTAAATCGAACAACACAAATCGCTCACTATGGCAGAGTGTCGCAGGAGCGGAACTTCCGCAGGAGAGTATATGCTCCAAAAATTTTGGAGTAGCGGATTTAAACTTTCCGCCATGGCGGAAGTTCCGCTACTCGCAGTTTCCATGGTGATACACGCTGTTGCGACACCGCTGCAGCGGATCCACAACTCTCAAGTGCATGTGGGACCGGGCCCTAAGAGAGATTGTGTGAGAAATGCAGATGCGACTTCCGCATATACAGGCACATCTGAACATTGCAGCATTCTCAGGGGTAGACCCACACCGCAGACAAAGGGTTTCTCTAGATAGGCAGACAAAATATCGAAAGGAGTTATGGGAATAGGACATAATGTTCTGTTCTTAAACGTTCCTCACTGACATTCCCTATGAACTCCAAGATTAGCGTGAGAATGAGACCAGACCAGAATAGGACCAAAGCCGGAGTGAGACCAAAACCGAAATAAGACCAAAACCAGAATGAGGCCAGACCAGAATAAGGTTGTATTTGTTCGGTCATTCCGGAATGAGCATGGAATGAGAGTAGCAAACAATTGTGCGTGCATGCACTCGGGAATCTGGCAAACGTTTTGCGAGACTCCGCAAACGGCGGTCGAATGTTTTGTTTTTGAGATCTACGAGTTGTTTTTTGCAGCCTTTCAAAGATAAGCTGGTAGCCTAAGAATGTTGTGGTTGCTATCTTGCTTCCGTACGTTTCTAGTTCTGCATGCCCCTACGATGATCATGGTGAAGGAGCGGCCAAACTCGGCATAGGCCTACGAGCTCCACTAGGGTACACGCCTGTACGCGACGTTTGGCCGCTACTTCATCATGACTATTCCGTATTCGACCTCGTATCAGTCAAAACGGCTCTAGCTCTTCACGGATTGGAAGCGCTTGTTTGACGGAGGTGCGGTTGTAAGAAGAAGTCAAGTGGCAGGTTCAGTGCCTGTGTGGGTGATTATGTGATATGCATTAGTGGGACTGCCTCCCTAATCGAGTGATTCTGGAGGCCCTGCTCGACGATGAGGAAAAGAGGTGCGAGGGCATCAATCCAGTTTTTGTCCTGACCGAACGCTGTCTCAGGCAGCGAAGGGTAAAAAATGCCACAAACCAGTAGCGGTAACTATCCCGAGGTTACAGTACCAGCCTACACCCTGGACGATTTTCGGCAACATTCCGTCTGTCGACAATCGCGTTTGAGGTTTTGTTGGCGGAGGTATGCAATAGTGACAACCCCCAGTGGCCGCCGCACATTTTCAATCCGCTCGGAATGAGCACTCATTCCACTTATTTCTTTGGAATCGCCAGAATCGATTCTGCCCCCTTCATTCCGCGACCGGAATCGGAATTGCACGGAACAAACGCTGTCCGGTGCATCAAACAAACGCACCGCAACCAAAGCACAGCGGAATGACTTTGGAATGGTGTCGGAATGACACCGAACAAACGCAACCTAAGACCAGACCAGAATAAGACCAGACCGGAATGAGACCAGACCAGAATAAGACCAGACCGGAATAAGACCAGACCAGAATGAGACCAGACCGGAATTAGATCAGACCAGAATGAGACCAGACCGGAATGAGACCAGACCGGAATGAGACCAGACCAGAATAAGACCAGACCAGAATAAGACCAGACCAGAATAAGACCAGACCAGAATAAGACCAGACCGGAATACGACCAGACCAGAATAAGACCAGACCAGAATAAGACCAGACCAGAATGAGACCAGACCGGAATAAGACCAGACCGGAATGAGACCAGACCGGGATGAGACCAGACCGGATTGAGACCAGACCGGAATGAGACCAGACCAGAATAAGACCAGACCGGAATGAGACCAGACCGGAATAAGACCAGACCAGAATAAGACCAGACCGGAATGAGACCAGACCGGAATGAGACCAGACCGGAATGAGACCGGACCGGAATAAGACCAGACCCCAATAAGACCAGACCGGAATGAGAACAGACCAGAATAAGACCAGACCGGAATGAGACCGGACCGGAATGAGACCAGACAGGAATGAGACCAGACAGGAATGAGACCAGACCGGAATGAGACCAGACCGGAATGAGACCAGACCGGAATGAGACCAGACCGGAATGAGATCAGGCCGGAATAAGACCAGACCGGAATGAGACCAGACCGGAATGAGACCAGACCGGAATGAGACCAGACCAGAATGAGATCAGACCGGAATGAGACCAGACCGGGATAAGACCAGACCAGAATAAGACCAGACCGGAATGAGATCAGACCAGAATGAGACCAGACCGGAATGAGACCAGACCGGAATGAGACCAGACCGGAATGAGATCAGACCAGCATAAGACCAGACTAGGCTTTCCCCAAATCGGCCCGGTTATTG